GCAACGTTTGTTGTGCCCTACCCTGCCCGGAGTTGCAGGGTTGTCGCACAAGCACAAACATTGCTCCCCTAGATTGTGAAGGGAAGATTGAACCTCCACTCCAATCTGACATGGCTTCTGCCGAAAACGGCTTCGCCAGGTTCCGTGGCGTCCCGGTCGCGCGGGCGGAACCTCCGGCAGGTGAAGTCCTATCCGACGCTGAAGTACTTCGTGAATGGCGGCGAGCCTGTGGACTACGAGGGTGGCCGAGATGCCTCGAGCATCGCGGAGTGGCTGCGGAAGCGGGAGAAGCCTGCGGTTGAAGAGCTCAGTGACAGCCAGGTGCGGCAGCTTGAAGCGGAAGCTGATGGGGTGCTGTTGTTAAATGTAGAATGTAGCCAGTCAGATAGTTAGTTGGTTGGTTGGTTGATTAGTTGGTTAGTTAGCTAGTTGTTTAGTCACTTAGTGAGTTAGTTCAAGTTCTTTTTTGTTTGCGGCTCTCTGTTCTATTTGGATTGGACACTTGCTTGAGAGGATCCCCGATTTGTTCTCCCAAGAGCTAGGCTTCAGCCGCTCCCGATTTGATCTCTTCTCCTTCCGTCCCCAGAGAGGTGGACGACTTCATCGAGAAGAGCCTCAAGAGTGGCGCCTTTGCCGTGGTGGCTCACGTGAAGAAGAAGTCGGCACGTGCGAAGGCCCTCTACAAGGCCGCCGAGGCCCTGGTGGACTACAAGGCTGGAGTTCTTTGTTTCTGGTTGGTAGGAGGCCATCGCTATTAGATAGGAGGTACGAAGAAGTGACTTCGAAGAACTTCAGATCTCGGAAGAGTGCACACTCTGAAGACTTCTGTCTGAAGACTGTCCCAAAAGGCAAGCCATCAACGGGTCAGATGGGTCCACCGCCTCTTTTCTGCCGCTCATTGAGTGGCTCTGTTCGCTGCTTCGCATCTCCCTGAGGCTTCGAAGCTGCGCTTGGCCGCTGTCTGGCTCCCGAAGACGGCCGACCCCAAGAAAGACGCGACGATGGCCATGTCCCGCCCGGAGATGGAACCCCAAAAGCTGGACTTCACAGGTGTGCAGTGCCAAAAAAACATCGGAAGACCTCCCGTTTGACCGGGCCAGCGCGGGATTTCGGATCTGATTCTTTTTTCTCTCTCCTTCAATACATGGCCCAGGTGAATGTGCTGTGTTTGAACCACAGTGTATTAGGCTCATTGGTCAAAGTGAATTGGAAAGGAACATGAGAGGATCTCAGATTCAGGAGCCTTGTGCAATGTTTCTGTGGATCGTTTATATAGAGGGAGTTGAAGGTTCGACTCATACTGCCATGGTTGGGAATCTCACACTGCCACCCGCAGGAACTTGGACCGACGGTGCCATTCGCAAGTGGGTCAAGCAGAGCACCTACGCACTGGTGGGGAGTGGCTTCAAGGTGGAGAAGTATGGCACAGAGGCCAGTGAGCCCGGTGAATCAACACGGGTAGAAGGATCACATGAAATGCACAGACTTTGCCCTGCAGACCCATGACCAACGTGAGACCTTCGAAAAAAGAACCACGGGATACCATGGGTCATTTTCGTCATTTTCGGAGAACAAGAGAGGCTTCCATTCCATTTTTTCCACTTGTCCATGGTAGTTTGTGAGTCTTGTAAGTCCTTTTGGAGATAAATCATGATAGATCCCATGTTAAGTCTTGCGTGCCCGGCCTGCCCCTCTGCGAGGCCTTGGAGGCAGTAGGCGCTAAGGGCTCTGTGGTGGGCATCTACAGCGAGGAGGATGCGACCAAGGTCAAGGAACTGCTGACGAAGACAGCGAGCAAAGAGTCCCAGTGGCGCTTCACGGCGCTGGCGCGCGGCGCGGTGGAAGATCAGGACGTCTTGGGAGTGCGGGGGGACTCCAGCATGATCTCGGTGCTGCATGGGGACAAGAAATACGTGTTGCGGGAGAACCTCAGTGCCGAAGCCGTGGAAAAGCTGCTGGGCGAGATCTTGGCCAAGAAGGCAAGACCCTACTACAAGAGCGCGACACGGACAGAGGAGTTGGAAGATGGTGTGACCGTGTTAACTGGCGACACCTTTGAAGAGGTTGTGATGAATTCCAAGAAGGATGTCTTTGTGGAATTCTACGCCCCATGGTGCGGACATTGCAAAAAGCTCGCCCCGGTTTGGTCAGACTTAGCCAAGAAGGCAGAGAAGGAGGGCTTTGCGAAGAAGGGCGTGGTGATTGCCAAGATGGATGTCACGGAAAATGAATGTGAGGAGCAGATCAGTGGTTATCCCACCTTGGTGCTCTACCCCGCTGTGAAGAAGGAGAAGAAGATGCGACAGAAGTTGATCTACTCGGGCGCGAGAGACTTTGATCCACTCATGGACTTCCTGGTGGAGAACTCTGTGAACTTGGAGGGTGTGGAGATGGCGGGATCCGTGGGGAAGCAAGCCTCACTGGTAGAGAGGGAGAGGGCCAGGGCCAAGAAGGCCAAAAAGGAGCTTTAGAACGCGCTCTTTGATGCCGAGCTCCGCAAGTGGAGTGGAGATCGGAAGACTGCGAGCTTGAGGAGTTCCTCCAAAGACTGCGAGCTTGAGCTCGGAAGAAACAGCCGAAGAAACAGCTGGAGGGAAGCCTTGGGGCTGGTAGAAAATGCATTGCCCTGATTTGCCTATTTGCAGATGAAGGCCATGAATACCAGACTAAATTCTTGAGGCCTCCAGGACCTCAGGAGTTACTAACATCTCTTGCCCCTGATGCATAGCACAGACATGACCATCAGCTGCTGTCATCCGATGTCTTTTGAGCAGGTGAGATGCCAGTGGCTGCAGCGGATGTTGTCTCGAGCTCAGAAGTTGGCGTCTAACATTTGGCTTTGCATATTTGTAGGTTCACCCGAATTTGTGATACCTAACCCAGCCTGTTTGCCTATCTCCTGTACTGGTACCATGTACTCAGGTGCTCGGGGAATGGGTAGAACCCAAGGATGACTGGTGCTGAGAGGAAACGAGCTGGGATGGCCGGATCGTCCTTTGTAGCTCGTTCCGTCATCTTTTCCAGATCCCAGAATGTAGCCTGGTCCAGGTCAAGTTTTTAAACAGCCTGGACTTTCCAGTCTGCGATGTGCATAGCTCGAATTATGCAATGCCCTGAGCCTGAAGCTGGGGATTCGAATCCGCGGATTCGAACGTCCTTCAGCTTTGAATTTGCAGGAAGGGCCTTTTAATGCAACCATGACAGGTCACATGGCCATGGGATTCTTGAAAGCTGGGGAACTACCAAGGAGTCAGAAGTGGAGACTAGACCCTAGACACTGCATACTCATATAGGCAAATCATATATATATATATATAATGGAAAACCACCTCATGCGCTTTGCGTTGTAATTTGGATCAATGCAGTCCAATGAGATTTGGGCACTGAAGACGCCTATGGCATGGTCACGGGATTGCAGGCTTGTCCATTTTCCGCAGCCTGTGTGCATGGTGAGCTCCATCAAAAGACCAGTGGCCGGCCAAAAGGAAGCATAATGATTATGGTGAACACATTCATTACATAATCGTGAATGTAGGAAGGACGGGAAGGCACTTGGGTACAGGTGGCTTTGGCATCTCTGTCAGTGGGCGCCATCCTCCTCAAGGCCAGGACAAAGTGCCTGTCCGCCAGCTTTGCTCGGTTTCTTGGAGGGAGGAGAACTACTTCTGTACACTCCCAAAATCCATGCTTTGAAGCCCTCCTTCCTTTATGACCATCGCAGAACAGGTGAGGGCAGGACAGGCCAACGCTTCGCACCCTCCTGTGGAGTGTTTGTTGTTTCCTTTGTTCGACCAACCCTCGCACCTGTGACTTTGAAGTCCATGAAGTCCGTGACTCAACGGAAGCAATCCATCAAGCTGTCCATCAAGTTGCAAGAACCTCAACCTCTCGGCCCAGTAAGACACCCGCTGTGGCCAAACTGTTTCTCACTTTCCAGCTGGTGGCCTGGGAAGGATATGAGTTTTTCAACAACAACACCACTAGTTTTCGCCCACACATCTCGTTCGTAGCGATGCACATCCCCCCATCGCTTAGCGATCCCTTGGGCCGCCCTCGCCACCGATGTGGCGACCACGTTCCCTCGCGCCCTTCCCGGTGCCACGGCATCGATGTTTCGCGGACGCTTTACGGCCCTTGTTGTCTGGACGCCCAGCGGGAAGCTGCGGCAGCGGGCCGCGCAGGGGGTTGATATCTATGGAAAAACGTGTGGGAAGGCAGCGAGTCCTGCTTGGCAAGGACCAGAAGGACCAGAATGTGAATTCGTTCGTTTTGAGGGTGCTTCTCAAAGTAGGGATGTCGAATGTTTCAGGGACTCCCGGTTGGAATGGGTTTAGGTTTGGGGTGGGCAATCAGCAAACGAGGCTCCAGTGGAACATATTTGCTTGCAGGATGATGCAGTCGTGTAACCAGCAAGGACTGATTTCCAGCACCATCAAGGTTCAATCCCAGTCCTACAGTAGTGGTGAAAGCATGTTTTGGATGAGTGAACCGCTGATTCGATCAAGGACAACACAACCGAGTCTCCCAAATCCTACTAAACTTTGATTGTTTTGGGTTGGCTTCATGATGACCCACCAGCCATATCTGTGAATCGAGCTGAGCGTACGCAAGGCTTGTTTTGGACTTAGACGAGACCCTGGTGTGGCGCTCAGAAAGCGGAGACTGTTGTGGGAACGTCCGTGTCGCTTGGCCAACATGTAGGACTCCGAGGATTTAGATTTCCACTTTGGAAGTGAGGAAACCTCAGGTCATGTCAGGTCCATGTCTGGTGCAACAGACCCTCTTCAGGGTCAAGACTTCATCTCGGTCTGACTGGTCAGGTGCGAGTTTGCTGCAAGGGCGTGCACCACAACCGGAACTTGCGTGTGGGTGCGAAAACAAACGGCGGCAGTGAAAGAGCAAACAGACGGACTGGTCAACCTCGTCCCTCGTCTCTGAGTAGGGAGGGCTCCCACGCAAGTGGTTTTGCTCTATTTTCCTTCTTAGGCTTTGGGAGGTCTCCCTATTCTAAGGAGCAAAACCCCAAATGATCCCAAATGTTGTTCTTCAAGACCGACTTCCAAAATTCCAACTGTGGTCGTGTGGATGAGAACCACCGTCGATTCCACACCTGTCCAACCTGGGTGGCTCGCCTAAAGCATCCTCAGCCTTCAAGCATCACGTCCTTCGTTTGGATCTGGTGAGCGAACAGAGTGGGTTCTGCATGGTTTTTCTTTCGAACCACCCAAACCACCCGAATCGGAGAGTTCTGCCGTCCGTGGAGCGCCTGAGCTGGAAGTTGGTGTTTGAGACGTGCTTGAATTCAAAGGATTTGCTGGGCATGTTTTCAAACATGTCAAACGTGCATTTTTCAACACTGCAAACCCCCAAATCCAGTACGTCTCGGTCACTTCGCTGCTTTTGGCCTCGCTTTGGGCCGACACTGCTTGCCTCGACCGACACTGCTTGCCAGTGGACTTCCGAGTGCCCATTGACGTTGGAACTCTGCCCAGAGCCACCACGCCAGCTGCTCAAGGGAACCGGAGAGGGAACTGGATCAATTCGACCCCTTCCGAAGGAGTTGTAGGTTGTTGGTAGGTTGTTGTTCCACGCAGCCAGTGCATGGTGCGTATGTTGCCAGGCATGCCAGGGACGTCTTCAGGAACTACAGTTTCCTTTTCTCCACGTAAGAACTGAAGGCTTGATTCCTATGACATTCTTTGATTCTAATGGGAATCCGACGTTCTTTTCCTCCGGTGCAGAGCAGAGGTAGTGCAGAGAAGAATGTTGCTACTGGGCTTTGGACTTTAGGGTTTTGTACAAATGAGTTCAAGGACACCAGGATTCCCGGGTTGCAACGCGCAAGCCACTCAAGCCATTTCTACAATAGCTTGTTCGTATTCCATGATCATGTCAACACCCACGCCTTTCCAAAGTCTGTGAACGACAGCAAACAAAATGCCACATGCTGAGCAACTGAGCGATGTCAAATCGATTGCTTCTCTGACCAAACCGATTTCTGTCAACACCATCCGCCGGGCGGCGCTTGGCTCGAATTGAGGTATGATTGTGGTGTGGCCGTCCGGCCGGGCTTGGAGACACTTGGCTGCAAGGGTCTTTTCAGCAGTCACATGAGCCACGTGCAGTCAAAAAGAAACACCAGAAACACTTGGCTAGAATCTCAGGTAAAGAAATCAGAAGCTGAAGAGTCTATATAGCAAGGAATCCAGAGTCAAGATCAGCATCCAACCATTTGGAGATAGCTGGAGCTACTGCACAGCAAGTCTCATTGTGCGACGTGTCCAGGAAGTTTCTTGAGTGGATCAAGGCGGGCTGCCACTGGGATCGGACCCAGCTTCTTATTCGGACCAAGCGTGGCAAAACCAAAGCACAGCAATGCCACTTTTTGAACATTTTTCTTTCCTCTCCTGGATTAATACCATACCTGCATTATATGGCCTGCCCAAAACGAAGCAGACCTATCAAGCTCTTGTAGAGTGTAGTTTCCGGGTCACCGTGACTTGAAGAAGAACCTTTCGGACTCATATTTTACTTTCGTTGCCTTTCTCGTTCCTTTGCTTACGGGATGACCAAACTACAAGCTTATGTCACACCGGGATGACCTGGAAAGGCTTCTCTTCGGATCTTTTCTTCACTCTTCGGATCCAAACGGAGAGACGTCTCTTCGAACCACCGGCGAGATCGGTCGGAGAGTCGGAACAGGAGCGGAGGCGCGAAGGCCTGATCGAAGGCGGGGGTTCCGAAGGCGGTGGAAGGTTTTGCGAGGTTCGGGAGGGCGAAAAGAGAAGGCAAGACTTTAGTTCAATATGTAACTATATAACTATAATACCACTATATTCGTTATAGCAACAGTATGATTACACTAACATAGAACATTCACCATATACCATATCACTAGTTTTGAGCTTTGTAACATTCTTCAAGTCTGGTTCTCTAGTCCTTTCGGCCCTGCCTAGCAGGCAGGGGCACCAGAAGTTGAATAGTTCCGTACTGCAATTACATGCATCAACCAGGCGAGTTGGTTGGGGGATGAGATCGCTTCGGATCAAGTCAGGAGCCGTTTTTGGAGCCGAATAGGAGTCATTTTCCAGCCAGCGGGAGAGGTCATTCTCTTGGAACAATCCCCAAATGCACTTGTCCCCCGATGTGCAACTAGCCACCACGCAGCGATTCTTTTTGCATTTTTTTTTTGCAGCAAACTTGTTTGACACCATGCAGCGCATTGCCAAGATCTGCCATGCAGCTCGGAGAAAAGGTCCTGGTGGATGGATGCTGGCGTGGGCGCTGATCCATTTGATCTGAACATCTCACGTCAGTCATGTCTGATCTGATCTCAACCTGAGAGCACCCATTGGGTGGGGAGACCAAGTGCAGGGAGGTAGAGGAAACCGATTCAAGCAATCCACCATCCAGTCAATTTTGAGGTGTTGACTCCAGAGCAAAACACGCTTCACATGAGACATTTGTCACACCGCAAATATACAACTAACTACTGTATATGTATTTAAACAATATCATCGCATTTCTATTTGTTTTTGCACATTCCCGAGAAAAACTTCCTCACTTCTGATTGTGGGTCCACATCTTCCAAACCTTTGTATGGGATGAGTCATGAGCATCCGATTTTTGAGCGAGGACATGTGCGCTCCCGACCAGTGCCTTGGACGGGACATGTGGAACTGAGACAGTTTAAAACCATGTATTTGATACTATTTCTAGTCGAGGATGGTGTTTATTGCTGACCCTCATACGGAAATGGAACTGGGCAACCTGCAATAATTTCTGTTGTTTCCTGGAAGACAGATGTTCGACAAGCTGGTGGTGAGTCATGTTACCTAACGGGAGTACCTATCATGGTTGGCACAAATCCTGCAAGGCTTCCACCAGGGTATATAGAGGCAATATATAGTTGTATAGTTTCTTCTTCAAGTACTCAATGGATCTATGGATTGAGATCCTGGGACTTTCAGTCAGATGCATAATTCTCAGATGATTTCAACTTCTCCATTGAGAAAGGTAGATATGATTCTCGGTACGCATTTGATGCCCAGGAGCTGTGTGCAATACTGGCTGTTGCCCGAGCGAGCACCCGAATGGACCCTCGGATGGGGGAAGGTGGGTGTCGGTGTCGGTGTTTCCTGTGCGGTCGAGGCGAACTACCCGATTGACACGTGGAGACGAAGGCATCCTGAATCCTTTGGAAGCCATCCTCACAAGAGGCAAACTTTTGAGATAGCGGATAGACCATACAAGCTGAGTCTGGTTAGTTTGTCGCGTCACGGCTCAGTAGCTGTGGAAACGCCTTCAAAATCGCTGGACAAATCCCAACCAAGGCTCTGGAAACTCCTTCTTTCCCAGGTTGAACGAATACTAGCCCCAAGCCCCGACTTCCTCGGGTTCCACACTTTCCATCTCCTTCGGTACAAACAGCACGGAATGCTGTGCGTGCTCGAGTCTCAGGCCGCAACACATGAATCCGTCTTCCCCCGAGAGACCGTTTCACGGTCACACGAGCTTGCGCTCGCGCTCCAAACGGCACCGGCCCAGCCGAGGTACCGGAAGTTGGTCTTGGGCACTGGCAGTGGGGACCTCCACGTGCGCTCCGCGCCGAAGGACTCCTTACCCCTGCTAGGCCGGTTCGGGACGCCGGTGAAGGGTTCGAACGGTGGGCCCGAAGGGGTGAGCGTGGCCGAATGGGTGGAACGGCTGCTTGTTGAAGTGGAAGGGAAGTGGCTAGTGACTAGAGGGGAGAGAAGATGTGGTAGTTTCTTAATTGGAAACACTTGGAAAAATGGTCACCAAAAACTATCATCAAGAACCGCTGGATGAATGGCTATGCTTGTCATAGTCTTTCAAAATCCTTTGTGCACCATTCAGCGTATGCCTCGGACAAGGACATGTATGCCTGCCAGCTGGGTTGAATGTGATCTTTCGAAGGTATGACTTGTCTTTAGTGGAAAATGATTCCCCCATTGCTGGCTGACGGCTGCTGGCGAAAAAGGTCTATTCTTCACCGTTTCCGTGAGGCCACATCGAATTGACCGTTCCCAAACTGGAGGAGAGGGAGATGGCATTTTTCCAGCAAAAAGCGGAGCGGTTTCCAAGGATTGGTGAAGTTTGGCCAGCACGTGGCATCGATTGCTGCGACTTTGACATTGGGTTTCAAGTGCAAAATCGACCGATTCTACAGATTTGGGATCATTTTCATTCTAATGAAACCCAGTACATTCCATTCAGACTATGGGCTAGATTCCTAGATGCTAGATTGATGCTACACTACAAACGGTCAACGGCTTTTCTCTGTTGGGATGGAATCTCCTCGGAGCTCTCCAGGATGCCAAACTATTCTGGATGGAGGGCCTGGGCTGCGACGAGACCTACAACGCTTCCACGAGAGAGTGACCCGGCAGGAAATCGATTCTCATCTATAGACAGGTCTCAGCCGGACAATGTCAAGATCTTAAACCTCAAAACCCGGTGACTCTGTGATTGCTAAAGTGCACGAACAAAAGCGACGGAATCGGTGATGATGGTTGGGCCCAAAAGTTCAGACACTGAATCCACAGGGGTGAATCCACTGAGTTTTCCCACTGAAAACTCCCACCCTGACGCCCTGTGGGCGTGTCGGTTTTCTTTTTTCGTTGGGGTTCCAGGTGCCGATGCTTTTGGCGCGTTTTGCATTGCTTTTTCCTTGCATCTGCGCCGCCGTGGTGTTGCTGCGCTCCGCGGCTCTCCGCGGTGCTCTGCTGCGCTCTGCGATGCGGCGGGAGGGGCATCGGCTCTTTCCGTCGCCCAGGTTGTGGGCCCATCTTGGACCTTCGCAGGTGCGCTTCAAGGAGGGAAGCTCTTCGACATCTTGGCCTGGCGAGCGGGAAGACCCAGCACGGAAGAACTGACATTTTTTGTGTTTTGTGGCTCGCAATGATAGATGACTACCAGAGATGGGTATATTTTTTATCATCCCAGTGTCCAAAGGTGGATCTGAACACTAGAGATCTTGTAGTGACATGTAGTCACTCTAGTCCCTGAAATCATGGTTACATGGATGCCCATTTCCAATCCTCTACAAAGCAGTTTGTTTTTGTTTTTTTTTCTCCCAGCTCCATGGAGTATACCTCAGGGAGTGTACCTCCATGTGCCCACCGGAGGTCCCGGTCGCCCGTCGGCGGTCGAGGATCCGCATTTGGGTCGAGGACATCCGCTCGGTGGCCGCGGCTTGGCGTGGAAAAGTGGGTTGTAGAGGAACCTGAACATCAAAGTCAGAAGCCATCAGATAGCCATCAGATTGTCCAGTTTTAGGGCTGACATGAGTTGAGGGTTGCACACTTCAGGTATTCTGGGATGGCGTGAGGTATGAAGACCTTGGAGGGCTAGAATATGCTAGAATCTAGAAGAAGTAAGTTGAGAGTTCTCCTCCTTGGTTGATGTCTGCCACCAAGGATATGCTGAATATGTTGGGTCGCACTCTGGATACGAAGATTGTTGAAGAGATGCGAGAAGCCCGGACTGGTGGAGAATATGCAGCGCAACTCGCCTGCATGGCGGCGCCCGCTTTGACCGATTCTGGGTGCAAAGTTCGACAAGGAGAGCTTTGACCAGAAGGTCTAGACTCTCTGAAATCATCATGGAAGTGGATGGCATGGCCCGTTTGGATGACGAAATCCGAATACCAAACAGATGGTGGTTTTCCACTTCCAGGATGACTTCCGGTCTCAGGGAGTGTACAAACGGATGTTTGAGAACACCAAATGGTTTCCTATGACCTGATGGACGAAGCCGTGATCTGTCCCGGTGCGTAGGCGGCCGCGGCGCTGGGAAGGCAAGGTGAGAAAAGGATCACGTAGACTCATGTATAATGTTTGAACATGAAGAGGTTTACAGTCAAGATTCTACATTACATTATTCTATCATTTCTATGTCACAGTGGTCGAAGATGTAGGCGGTTTCAGCATGCAAGCAGCAGGGGAAGAAACACCGCAAAGATGCTTCAGTCCTTCCTCAATCATCTTCAATCAAATGTAGAGATGGGCAGAACTTGGGCTTGGGTTGAGCTCAGAAATATTTAAAGTGATCCCCCGAGCAGAAATTCATCTTGCATCCATCTTCCCACATCTGAAAAAGAGCTCCCCTACCTTCAAGACGACCACCTGTGCTTGCTCCAGTCCCGCCGAGTCTTTTGCATGATCCTGGGCTGAAGAACAAGATTGAAGCCAGTGAGGCCGTCCCGGTGAACAATCTCGGCCTCATGCGTTGCATCACCTGTCAAAAAGGATTCAAAATATCATATCGTCAAGCTTTAAACATATATAATGGTCGAAGAGTTGAAGGGTCTTATATAGAAGTCGAAAAAGACACCGACACTAGTAGTTTTGGTTTGTTTCGCCTATGAACTACGGACACCCCCTTCCTTCAATCCCTTGTCATTGGTTTTCTGAAATTCTCGCAGGCACCCGGTGGGTGGAGCGCTGCCCTTCGGCAGATCCCCATCGGCTTGTGCCTGGGAGTTCGGACATCGGCTCGAGACCGTCGGGGATTTGGGGATCGGAGTCTGGATGAGCCGGGAGCACCAGCCCCTGAGAACGAAAAGGCACCTACTTTGGAGCACCTACTAGGCGGAAGAGGCGAAAAAAAAACGAACATCATCCAAATGTTTCTGTGATTGCTATCGATGCTCCCGGACACCCCCGGGCACCACAAACGGCACTAGTGTTAAGCCTACCGGGCGCTTTTCAAAGTATATTATACAGCTGGAACTTGGGAAGCCAAGTTTGACAAATGACAAACGAATCCCATCCATCAATGTCAGCCTCTGGGGCCTGGGGCCCCTGCAGGTAGGCTGGATGATGTTAAAGAGCGCAAGAAGATTCTCTTCAGTCCCCACCTTCAAGCGCTGAACATTTTGCAGAGTGAGTGGCTAAAGACCTTGGAAGAAAGACACTAGCCGACGCCGATGCCCCATTCTTGAGACCGAGATTCGACCTCGCCAATGGTCCAATGCAACTCGAAGCGGCCGAACCAAAGCATTATTTCGTACCCTCATCGTTCGCCCATTAGAGTGCCACGCTAGTAGTAACAAGTGCATCGCTAGTAGTAACAAGTGCCTTACTTCTAGTAACAAGTGCCTTACTAGTAGTAACAATGTTTGCTATTACGTAGTTAATTTAATTCTAATAGCAAACATTGTTTCTACTAGTAAGGCACTTGTTACTAGAAGTAAGGCACTTGTTACTAGTAGCTTCTTGTTACTAATAGCAAACATCGTTTCTACTAGTAAGGCACTTGTTACTACTAGCGATGCACTTGTTCCTAGAAACATCGTTCGCCCATTAGAGTTTTCAAGTTTCCCCAAAAAGCTAGGAACCAAATCATTAGCGCGAGCTATCCTGCGTCCTGTCGGTAGTATCTACTTAAGCTACTAGCGACTCCCTAGCTACTAGCTACCTAGCTACTAGCGGCCTACCCCCCTAAAAACACATATACCATTGAAGTCCCCTGGGTCCGATTTGATCCCACCTGATGCGTTGGGTCCACTTCATGACCCAGGTGTTCTGTTTCGAACCCACAGGACCGCCACCGTTGTGGTGTTTGATGGGTTGGCGAGGTCTGCGCAGGCGAAGAAGAAGAACGCATTGGCCATCTCTGATGCTGTTGTTCATCTCCCTACGCGGACACAGATTCAAGGTGAGCCATGCTCCTCCCACCAGTTAAGGCTTAGGCTTAGATATGTTTAGAAGGATGAACTATTCCATGTACTTCTATGGTCAACTCTACATTCTGCAAGCAATATGAAAACAATTGCATCTTAGGTTTTGCTACCAGGTTAGGACCCCTCTTATCGGACTGTCCAGCTGCATGAACCAAGAGTTCTCTTCACGAACTTGACAGCTAGGTAATCATCCGACTCATCATCAATAGATAGTACCATCAGGAAACATTAGCTAAGGGACGAACGCACGTTCACAATGATGTTTTCATTTTAACTGTCATTTGTTCCGGGAAGGAATGCCTCATGTTATCGCTAGTCATCCACTACCTCGAAGTATACACCATAATAGTCCTTTTCCCCAAACAGTTCACTGTTGGGGCTCTCTCTTAGTCTCTGGCCGCGCCCCTAGTGTCCTCTAGTGTTTGGGGGACCTTGCCCCCCTAGGACTCCTCTTCTTGTCCTCCTGTTGTCCTCTGTCCGCGCTGGCGAACCCTGTGTCCATGCCGCAGGCCGTTGGGCCTTTCTTCTCCGCCTTGTGAGGGCTTTGTCCAGGCCTTGTCCGGATCTGTCTGTCCTTGTCCACGTTGTCAACCCTTTGATCACCGCCTTGTCCCGGCCTTATCCCCTGATCCACGCTGCTTTCCCAGAAGCTCCACCGCCTGAATGAAACAATGATGCAGCGTTTGATATCATCCTCCGATTTTCTCATGACTTATATATGTATACTGTATATAAATCCCTTTGTGTTTGCACATGTGACGCCGGGATTCGGAGCTATTGTCTTCAAACATTTTTGGTTTACATGCCATTCCCAATACAGACGTGACTACCAACAAGGAGTTGACGCAACACAAACAATCTTAAACTGTTTGGGGTCTATGCTGGCATACTTATATCAGATATTCATGTGGAATCTTGGAGGTGTAGCACGTTTCTACGACCACTACATTGGCTCTGCCATCACCAAGAAGTATGCTGTCTACGAGGCGCTCGGTTTCGGCGCTCTGCCATCCCAACACGACCGAAACTTGGAGGTGTTGTACCGTTCTGGCCACCTGGCTGAGGTGAAAGGCAGGCATGCCGATGTTTGTGATATACCTACATCAAATCATCAAAAAAGCAGGTATCATGCCAAGACTCTCTTCTTTGCTACATACCGGTATGTGTGACGACGAATGCGGATGCACAGGCATGCCATGTAGCCGACTTGGGCTCAAGTGACTTCAGAGCTGAATCTTTCCCAGTGTAGAAGATGATGCCCGCAGATGAAGGCTCCACAGCAGATCCATTGCCAGTGGTGGGGGGCTATGCAGGTCCAGCAGCACAACCATCCTCCGGTACATCTGCAGCTTTGCCCAGTGAAGGCACCCAGATGCCCGTGGCCCCCGAGAAGGTCGACGAGCCGGGACCAGCGCCTCCTGCAGAGGCCGTCCCGGCTCCAGCTCCCGAAGCGACCGAGGGCGAGGGTGGACTGCTGGGGCGCTTGCGTGAGAAGGTCGCGCCCACGGTGCAACGAGTTGCGGAGATGGAGTCAGTCCAAAAAGGCTATGAGAGAATAAAGGAGGCGATTGGGTCATGAGGGTCCCCAAAATCGGTCAAACGTCGTGAGTGTCTGGATTTGTGTGCGAGGCCGATGTAGAACCGGACACCCCATGGGATGTCCGAATCCGCGTCGATGTTTTTTCCAGGTGTCTCATCGCGTGGCGGAGAATGAGAGGGTCCAGCAGGGAGTTGAGAAAGTTCAAAAGGGGCTTGAAGTCGCCAAGGAGAAGGGTGGATTGTTCAACGGAGTTTCTCATGAACTTTGCATGGTTTGGAAAGATGCGACAGATCGTGAAAGAAATATTGCTTCAACCCCCAGGTTTGGACTTTTCCGAAAGGCGCCATCTCAATCTTTTCGTGCGAAATCTGCCGTTGAGGACACAGGTAAGGTGGTCATGGAAAAGACCCAGCAGGGCATTGAAGCCGTGAAAGAGAAGACTCGGGAATGGCGCGCAGGTGCTGGCACTGTGTGGGAGCAAGGTGGGGGTGTTTGTTTTTTTTCAGCTGTGCCCTGAAAACTTCACATATTGATGGCTTTCTACTTCCACTCCCACCTGAAACTGGGACACGTCGACAGGCCGTGGCAGCATTCAAAGGATCCGAACGGAAGGAGTGAGTGCTTTGGCCTGGCGTGGCTCGGCCAAAGACACTCTGGCCATGGAGGAGCAGTGGAAAGACATTAAAGTTCAAGGCGGGTGTGGAAAACCAAACGCACATTTCTCCAACATGCGGATTTTGAAGCTACCCAGATGTGTGAAAAATTGTGCAGGATTTTTGTGGATCTGTGGGTGTGAAGATCAAAGGGAGAGGTGGTCTAGATGATTGTAGATGTAAAAGACGTATTTTTTGTGCCGCCGCATCTTAGAAGCTGCGCTTTTTCTGGGACTTGCTGCAGGTGCCGAGGAGCTGTCCGTACCAGCGAGGACAGAGCACACCTGTGCCTACCATGTCAGCAAGGGGAGCACCTTGCGCTGGACCTTTCGGGTGAAGGACCACGACATTGGATTCGCGGTGAGGATGCGAGTGCAAGTGTGGGGTGGTGCTCAGGAGGAAGAGGCAAAGTCTGGGGTCGGTTGGTTGGACACTGGGTGTGGTTGGGTTGGTAATATAACTTCTATAACATGTACGAACCGCTTGTGTTAACATCTGGCCCAGCAGGTTCTAGCTATGGAGCGGTATGACAACAATCACACGATCTCGGGCAGCTGGGTTGCGGATGAAGACCGAACATTGATCTTGGCCTTTGACAACCGCTACAGCAAGTTGCGTTGCTTGGAATTTGCAGCTGATCAGCTTGATTCCTTCTTTTTTGATGCTCTTTTGCACCGTTGTGGCAGTTTCCCTCCTCACTCGGTGGGGGCAAGACTTTCAGGTGCGAAGACGGTGGCCTACATCGTTGGCACCGAGAAGCCGCCCGTCTTCGTGGAGGACAAATCAGAGCCTCCACGGCCAGTGGTTTGAGCGCCGCCAGAGGGTCAGCCCTGGTGCAGCCGACGGCGGACAGGATGGTTTGATGCAGACCTGCCAAGCAGCTGCACAGTGCATGAGCCGGGTCTGAGTGCATCACATGAGTTGATGCGAGACAGCCTTTAACTTTGAAGAAAAGGACCATGTCATGCTATTCTGGGCTACACTGGGGTTAAGATGATTCTGTGACTAGGAACTCGCTGTCACACCCAATACGAAAGACTTGCGCAGCTTCCTGGCCACAGGCGCAGGCGTTGATGGACATTTGCATCATACACTTTGCTCCTGGGGCGAAGTTGCATCAGACTTTGACCTACAAGGCAGACAAAAGATATACGCGACTTGGATATGTTTGGGTTGACAGAAGGTACTCGTAGTTTTGTGTCATTGGCTGGTGCATGGGACTCTGTTCAACGTCGACATTGCCACACTGGTTTTCTGGGTCAGTCCATATATATATATATATATATAGGTTGGGGATCTTTCTGGGGTAGGTGAAAGGGATTCCAAGCAGCTTGGAGTCCAAGTCCGCCTGCATAGAGCGTTTGGGTAGAACTGGGCTTTCCCCCCCCACCGTGCCGTGGTGGCTGAGGGTCCCAAGCAGCTTATCCTCAGATCCATGGCAGCAGAGAGAGGCCGAGGCAGCAGTGAGGCAAGAGTGGGAAGCCGTTTGTTATATAGATACTTTGTTAGATACTTTGCAATCCCAGATCTGCTGATTGTTCACATCCTTTGTTACACCCTATGCTATTTCCAGTGAAGCCCAGAGTGAAGCATCATCATTCGTCTATGATCAGGGACCATCAGCCATCACATTTCTATTGAAGGCCACAGCAAATCATCATGGTCCTTGTTATACAGAGGCTAGGAGCAGCCAGCCGGCATGTCTACAGTGAATGATACATTGGCTATGGCAAAGCATGGTGCAAATCAAACGCTCCAAATACATATCTTCTTTTTACCCCCCGAAACCCGGTGGGTGAGGAGGGTATGTGCGGAAGCGGAAGCGGTTCTGAGTTCTGAGTATCTGAGTCCGTCCGCACCTGAGGTATGCATCTACATGAAGGACCATGGGCAGTTCCACCTGGCCTATGTCCCTCGGCGAGAGTTGTGTTCTCCTGTCCCAAAGAGATGTCTCAAGAGGCACCAGAGTTCGGTTTGAGGCCAAGTGCAAGACCAGTGACTTGCTCTCCATCGAGTGCTCCAAGAAATCCTGGGAGGAGGTGACATTATCGGTTCTTCGACGTGAAGGGTTCGTCTAGTCGAATGAAGCGGTGTCGGAACGACCTAAACTCGGAACTGGGAGCCTTTTCCCAGATGGATATGGCCACGCAGTTCCGAGTTTGTGGGCGGTTTCGGAATCAGGATGGGGCAAGGGCTCAATTTGATGGTTTGGGGTCACTTCTGGTCAATGGGTAGTCAGCCAAGAGTGGACTTTTGGTGCAACCAAGCACCCAGATGCTTTCAGCTTCGGCCCTGGTGTTTATTAATGAGTGTTTTGGTAGGACGCAGGGGGAGATGTGGCATCCATCCATCACATGTGTTTGTGGCCCACCTGCGACCAGATCGAGTCCCAGAAGGAGTTTCTCATCACAGGCGCATCCTTGTGTTGATAGAGCGATGAACGTGAGCGAGGTAAGTTCCATGGAAGTTGATGGCATGGTGTTGGGAAGAAGATTTTGGTGCTGCAAACTGGGAGCTGTCGACTTCCAGGTATTTGTCGGTACGTGCAGTCGGACAGAGTTTTTCTTTTTTGTCGGAGGCGGCGGGGGGGGTAGGCCGCGGAGGTCACTATAGAGGAATAGCTAGCAGCTAGTAGCTTACTTAAGCTACTACCGACAGGACGCAGGATAGCGAAGACGCTTCTTCAAGGAAACTCCCCCCGAAAAGCCCTGTCGGGGAAGCTTCCTTGAAGAAGCGCTCGCACCAATGATTTGCTTCCTAGATTTTTAGGGACACTTCACTAATAGGTTGGATGTCTCCCAGGTTCGTTTTTTCACCTTTTGAACACCTTCAACGCGAGAACTCCTGGGTTCGGTGCGAGAACTGCGCCCGGTTCTTTGTGATGCCACTGGTTGATATCTTTACATCAATGATTGAACTGGTCGCGGTCGCGCTCGGCACTGTCGCAGCTGGTCGTTCTTCAGTGGTACTTCCACTGTCGCAGCTGTTCGCAGCTGGTGTAGACTGTGTCTTCCCAGTGGCACGCAGATCTCAGGGTCCATTGGGTGTTTTCCAGATGGACGTTCCGGGTGTTTTCGCCAACTCCTCCGTCTCTGCGCCTGGACCCGGATGGATTGGTCCTCAGGTGTGATGGACCCACAGGACCACAGCATGGTCCTCCGATTACCCCACATTCTCAGCAGCTTGGCCGCCGCCTTCAAACCACCGGGGGCCAAGGGGGGTCTGGTCACCATGGCGAAGTGGGACTGTCCGGCAAAGACGCGACTGTCTGATGTGTTGCCAAATACAGGGAGGTTTGAGGTTGGTGTCATCACATTGGTTGTGAACTTTACTTTCAATTTGCCAACGTCTCACGTCTTTCGACCTCTCACGTCTTTTGTCCTTTCGACCTCTCGAAGTGCTGCGGTCATATGCCAAGCGCAGCGGCGTAGATATCAGGCACTGTACAGTACATCGCTGTACATGGGTGCGTATCCCAGCAGCCTGCAGCATCCAAGGAACACTGGATCATCCTGAATGTCCTCTTCGCCCATCATAGCTCTCACGAGTAGCGAATGCGCACGCGTTGTTCGCCCCGCGCGCGAAGAACACGGCAACTGTACAGAGCGGTGACATCACCGGACTTCGAAGACGAGTTTTTGTTCGGAAGAAACCACGGAGAATTGGATCTCAATGCATGGCAGCGGCTGTGTTGTCTCAGTCTTCAAGTTTGAGCTTCGATGGATTTCTTTTGTAGTCAGCTGGCTTTTTGAACGGCTGCTTTTTGCAGCTCTTCAGCCGGAGAAAAAGCACGGATGCAGAACAGTTCTGCAAGATTTCGAGAAGAGAGAGGTTTTTGGTGCCAATGGGGCCAATGGGGCCTTTGCAGAAACGCATGGGGCCTTTGGTTGGAGGCCATCACCTGTTGGACTGTTGAAGACCCAAACGACCGCGACCGCCTCTTGGCCTGAAGCTTCTTTTGCGCTGCCTCTGTGAGGCCCTTGGATCTACACCACCTCGACGCCAAACTATACCAAGGTCTCTGGGCCCTGGGGCCGGGTTGGGTCGTTGTGATGCATCAAGCACTCTTGAACTAATTAAATGGGAAGATTATGGCGATGGACGCAACATGAGTTGGCAAAAAATGCCAACTCTTGACTGCAAGAGTCTCTTTTTGCTAACATAGACTCACAAACATAGAAAAACACCTCGCGTCATCAGCAGGTTCGGACCGCTGAGACGACGCTTGATCGCTGGAGGCTCTGATGCGACACGTGGATCCGGGTGGCAAAGTCTTCGCCATGCGCGCTGGGGGACCCCGGTGCGGACGCGTCAAAATGTGTGCTCTTGCGCAAGAAGAAAACGGGAAACCTTGCCCAGTCCGGGCGGAGGTTTTTGCGGAGCTCCTTCAGATGCCCCAAGATTTGGAGAGATCACCACGAGGGCCACGAGGGTTTGTGTTAAAATAGGGAGAGCTTTTTAGTTCGATCCACTGGAAGATTTGGGAAAGTTCGACCAGGCAGTGCCAAGCGGCGATCGGCGGTCCCCTTATTAAAGTCACACCCAAGATGTGTGTTTGTGTGTCTGTCTCAAGTTGCATGTTTGTAGCTACATCAGATCATGCCCATGGATGTAGGACATTTCTTTGCAGCTAGACCCAAGTGATTTTGTAGCAGAAGTCCATGTCGTCTTGTCCAGATGTCCAGTCTTTCTTCACCTGCCTTCAGTGAGTTGCTTTTGTTGGATGCATGATGCTGACTGCAGTGAGAAGCCATCAATTTGGACTGACCGAGGTGCTTACTCGGGATCAATGCACACCTTGCCAAGTACCAGGCTTTTTCTTGAAGGCCTGTGGCTAAGTCTGGAATCGGATGGCGATGGGTTGGAATCGGATCAGATCTACAGGAAGGTACCTTGAGAGAGCCGTTCGGGTGTGCTGTTTGGCATGCCACCCTGAGCAGGATTTCACATTCAGAACACTGAGTTCCAAATACGGGTTCGTGCTGGCGGTGGATAGTGCCATCCGTGTACGGGAAAAGAAGAAGGCGGTCAAGAAGGCAGTTGATGAGTCCGTTCCTTTTCTCCATCCATCCAGGATCCATCCCCATCCGAATCATTCTCTTTGGTGTGGTCAGGGGAGACGCATCAGTGGGCATGAGTCAGTCTTTGTTGAGCAAGTGGTGCTTGCGGCGCTGAGAAAACACGGACACTGACTGATGGGTAGCACTTTTATCCATAAACTTGATCGAAGACGCGAGAAATCCTGGAACATTGGTTCTTCATCAAACTCCTTCCGCTGAACTCCAAGGAGTTTCAGGGTCTATGTTTCCGCCTCAGGATATGTCGTTGATCCGGTCCAAGATGGATGGGGACGACTCCAACTCACTGCAGCGCAGGGTGCGGTTGGACACAGAGCGCGTGTGGGTGGTCCTTCGTGCGCCTGGTGTCGAGACGAAGCGTGTCATCTTCGTTGATCTGGTCTCGTACAAAGAGTCAGTGAGAAGCTACAGCTTTGGTGAGAAGCTACAGATTTTGTCCACATGACCCATCATGACCCATCATGACCCGCACTGAATGATGGGATGATGCCTGATTTTTCATGATGACCTCGAAGGATGACCGTTTTCGAGCGGCTGTTCTGTTCCCTTGCTACGTCCCCAGCGACCCGACCGGTGTCCAACCTTCGCGACTGGTCCGACCCGACAGATCTTGGTGGACAACAATCCGGTCTCATGTGTGCTTCACCCAAGCGGATCAGCAGGGATGCCCAAGGGAACGGAACAGATCTGGGGATGAGAACATGGACATACATGGACCATTTCTTTGGTTTAGTTCAACAAATGGCCACAGGCACTTTTTCTGTTTTTTTGGGGTTCAGTTCTTTGCTTCTGAATCAGCTAAGTATTTGTGCGCCCCAAAAAAGGACCCTGGCATTGCCGGTTCCAAACTTGGCTCCGGTCTTTGGTCCAACCTCACATCACCACACGCCCCGAACGATGAAATCATCGGACACCAGCTTGCGAACAGTTTGTGAAAGTCACAGCATTTCCGAAACGTTTTTCTGTCTTTTCTTCCCGAATGGGTGGCGAAGGGTTCTTGTTTAACTCTGGGGGTCCGGGGGTAGAGCCTTGTTCACGACTCGTTGTCTCAGCGTTCGCAACCGTCCGCAACTGACCGCAACCGTTTGCTTGTGACCGCGGTAGGGCGCTAAGGCGCTGCCATTGGGGGAAGCTTTTGGAGAGGGTTTTGGATGGAAGCGTGACGTGTCAGATTCGTGTGGAGACGTAAGATGGTGAAGTGTGGAGGATGATTTCACTGCACAGCAGCGTTTTGTGAGATCCACAGTTTTGCGCGCAGTCACATTGGGATTGGCGTTTGGAGAGTGGTGCTTTTGGGGTGTTGGAGGTGACTGTTACATTGGGATTGACGTTTCAGGGTGTTGCAAGGAAGCTGTGTTTTCGTGACAGGTCTCAGCTGAAGTGGCGATTTTGGTGGATGGGTGTGTGCTCAGAACGAGTCGAAATCATTCCAAGCGTGTGGTGTGGTGCAAATTTTGTTGAAGTTCACATGATATGATATTGTCTCTTTTCGTGGCAGGTGCGTGACTTTGTGTGGGTTTTGAGGTGCGTGTGGAAGTGCGATTCTCGTGGCAGGTGCAGGGAATCGTGAGGTTGCGAGGTGTGGCAGAGGGCGCATTTCATGGCAGGCGCAGTACTTTGTGTGTGTTAGACGCGTCGACAGGTAAATTTTCGTGGTAGGCGCAGGGAATCGTGAGGTTGCGAGTTGTGATGGAGGTGAGTGTCGCTGTGACATTGGGATTGGCGTGTGAGCGGGCGTTGTATGGAGGGATTGAAATCGCGAAGCTCCTTTGGATGTGTGTGCTGATGGGAGTTCCCGCTTGGCTTTTGGAGGATGTCTCGTACGAAAAGCTCATTTTGGAGACTTTGACATGTGACGTTTGGAGGGCTCGTTTTGCAGACTTGAAGTGTCCCACAAGAGTATCCGACCAGAGTGTCCCACAATAGTGTCCCCACAAGAGTGTCGGACAAGAGTGTCCTACAAGAGTGCCCCACAAAAGCGTCCCACAAGAGTGTCCACAAGAGTGTCGGACAAGAGTGTCCCACAAGACTGTTCCATAAGAGTGTCCGACAAGAGTGTCCTACGAGAGTGTTTCGCAAGAGTGACATACAAGAGTGTCCCACAAGAGTGTCCTACAAGAGTGTTCCGCAAGAGTGTCTCACAAGGGTTGTGAGTTAGGAAGTAGCTAAAAAGATTGCTTTTAAACATATTTATTTTTACGATTTTTGTTATGGATTTGTTTTGAAAAACTTGTGAAAACAGTTATGATCAAATTTATGATTTGTTGGGCTGAATTGCCAAACATACACTTGCGATATATTGTTCGTATGGCTAGGTAGGAGGTTTGGGAGCTTCTTGGATTGTGGTCAGCAGCCCAATCAGCTATTTCACGTCTGATGGAAAATTGACAACGCAAGGAATCAAGGGTGGGGACACGGTGGCCCTTGCAAGCCGCCCTGACCTTTTCCACTCCAAGCCCTGGGCCATACCACGTCCAGTTCCCAACCATAACGAAACCATAACTGTCCTCCAACCAAGTATCAAAGCCATAAAAACAGCCATAACGAAATCATAACAAATCCATATCAATTCCATATCGAATCCATATCGAACCCATAAAAATCCATAAGAATCGGCGACTTTATTTATTTTTATGAAAATCTTAGGGAAACCTTATGGAAATCTTATGAAAAACTTATGCCAAATCTTATGGTTTTTTTATGGCCGCAGCTGTGGTCACTAGGCGGTCTGGACTCCACTTGGTCTCCGTCCGTCCCCGTGTGTCCAGTGCCCAAACGTCTAGGGCTTGGGCTACCAGCTGCCTTTTAAGGTTTAGGTTTGAGAGTTGTTTAGCCAGTGACTGCTGTTGCCCTGTGTTCTCTGCAGGGTTGCTCATAATTGGTCTGGGTCTTAGATTGTGTACTCCGTGTGTTGTTGTTCTGTCACCACTAGCTTCCTGATTTTACGCAAAAAAATAAGTACAAACAAAGCATATGTATTGGCATATTCAGTTTCATAAGAAAACCATAACAACATCAAAAAAATAAATAAACCATAAATATTTTTTTTGGCTGACTTCCAAACTCACAACACAAGGGTGTCATATAAGAGTGCCCCGCAACAGAGTCTTACAAGAGTGTTACTCAAGAGTGCCCCGCAAGAGTGAGTGTTATACAAGAGTGTCCCACAAGAGCGACAAATAAGAGTGTCCGACAAGAGTGTCCCACAAGAGTGTCCTGCCACAAGAATGCCCAACAAGAGTGTCCTACAAGCTACAAGAGTGTCCAGCAAGAGTGTCCCGCAAGAGTGTCCCACAAGAGTGTCCTACAAGAGGGTCCCACAAGAGTGTCCCGCAAGAGTGTCCCACAAGAATGTCCGACATGAGTGTCCTATGCAAGAGTGTCCCACAAGAGAGGTCCGCAAGAGTGTCCCACAAGAGAGTCCTACAAGAGTGTCATACAAGAGTGTCCTACGAGAGTGTCCCACGAGTGAGGCAGAGTGTCCCAAGAGAGTGTTCCGCAAGAGTGTCCGACAAGAGTGTCCTACAATGGAGTACCAAAACGGTGTCCTACAGGAGTGTTCCGCAAGAGTGTCCCACAAGAGAGTCCCACAAGAGTGCTTCGCAAAGTGTCCTACAAGAGTGTTCCGCAAGAGTGTGTGTCACACAAGAGTGACAAACAAGAGTGTGCCACCAGAGTGTCCCGCAAGAGTGTCCCACAAGAATGTCCGACAAGAGTGTCCTACAAGAGTGCCCGGCAAGGGTGTCCTACAAGTGTGTCCCACAAGAGTGTCCTATAAGACTTTCCCACAAGATTGTCCTACAAGAGTGTTCCGCAAGAGTGTCATATAAGAGTGTCCCACAAGAGAGTCCTACAAGAGTGTTCCGCAAGAGTGCCGCAAGAGTGTCCGATAAGAGTGACAAACAAGAGTGTCCCGCAAGAGTGCCCCACAAGAGTGTCCTACAAGAGTGCCCCACAAGAGTGTCTCACAAGAGTGTCCCAGAAGAGTGAGTGTCGTGTCATACAAGGTGTCCCACAAGAGTGCACAAGAGTGTCAGACAAAGGTGTCCGAAAGGAATGTGTCCTACAAGAGTGTCCCACAAAAGTGTCTCCTACAGGAGTGTCAAAAATTGTTTGAATGTTTGTTTTCGAGTAGTGTTAGCATTCGGGTTCATGGGTTCCATTTTCTCTGGCACAAGACTCACATCATTTCTAGAACGACTTATAGTACTGTATCTTATAGTAGTAATAGCTCATGATTTGTTTGAGTTAATTTTCCGACTTTTCCGAACAAGCGTCACATCATTTCTGGAAAGACCTTTGTATTTTTGTTGAGCAATCATCGCATCGTTTCTGGAAAGACTTCTGGATTATATGTCTTTCGATCAAACATCCAATAATTTCCCGAAAGACTTCTTGGATACCTTCTTGGATCCTTTTGAGCACACATCACATCATTTCAGTTTTACAGGTCAAGAAACATTTTTTGTTTTTTGATCAAACATCACAGAATATCCAGTTTCAGACTTCTGGGATCTTCTGGGAACCATTTAAACAAACATCACATCATGTACGTTTTGTTTTGTTTTTCTTCAGCGTTCATTTTTAGCGTTGACAAATCTATCGAAGACCCCAAAACCTCTGAGAGATGGTACTCCCGTTTGCTCCACGAGGTGCTGGTCCGCGATTGGCTTGGCGACGCGGAGGAAGACCAGGAGCTGGAGAGACTTCAAAAGCTGCTTGAGGCGAGTTGGACGATTTCACACCGACCCAAACCTCCGGTGAAATGGATGGGATTCTGAAGGACGTGTACTGTATCCGGTTCTTTCATTTTTGCTGGGGCATTGCTAGTAGGTTGGAGGCCATCGCTAGTAGGCTGGAGTCCGTGGTCCTTTAGGGGTTGGGGAGGCTACAGATTTGGGATCCTTAGCATGTGAAGTTTGACGAAGAGTTGTGGATCCTTCACGACGCAAGCGCATCAGTTGGGTCTCCAAAACTGCAAACACTTTAGACTCTCTAGACGTCCTTCCTGTCCTTTCAGCACTGCTTGTTAGCAGTTTTGGACATGGATCAAAGTAGCAACAAACATCATGAGTTCGGGATCACATCCGTCCTATGAACAAGCTGCCAATTACTTTCACTTACTTTCTTCAATGCTGAAGGGGTAGGAAGAGTTCCACCTCAACCGCCTTTGCCAAATCCTCCTTCCTGCCAGGCTTTGTTGCAGGACAGTCAGGCCCCTCTTTGCACCCGGAGAGTCTCTCGACTTGACACGTTGGAGGTCGCTGAAGGTTTGCTTGTTCTTCTCACACGAGAACCGCCCAGTCACATCCGGAACATGTCTCCTGAGTCATCAGAAGGACGAACCATTGACGAAGTCTAGGAGAACGGAAGGTGGCGAACGGAATGCGTGAAGGAGACCGAGTCAATACACACGAGTGGGGGAAACCACCCGAACCTTTTCCTCAAAGGGCCCTGAAGAAAAGCGCCTGCAGAGTGTGCCACAGATTGTAGCCCACTCGACTCAGTCCCTTCATATTTCGTCTAGATCAGCGCTTGGCTTTCCTCCAACAACTTCTCTTTAGAATGAGCTGTAATGACCTCGAAGCACTTCTTTTTTACGTCTTCCTCTTGAAAAGAGCTCATCTTCGACCAAAAACCAGTTCTTGGAACGAAGAGTGCCCATCTCTTCGGTCGACGCCGGTGGATCGAAGGTCCGGGAGACCGTCCGATCGGCCAATAGGTACAGACATCGGCTGGTGATGGTTTTTTTGGTTCCAACCCGTGATGGGTATCGATCCTTCAAGGATTCACCCAACGTTTTGTTTCGGCCTGGAACAGGGCGACTATGCTGCCCGTCTGGTACGGAGCTTGGAGATGATCCCGAAGGGCGAAGTCCTTCTGATGGATCGGTGGGAGTAGATGTTAACGTCTGGAGCTTGTCATGTGGCCGAGGCCACTTTTGTGACTTCCCAACTTGCTCTAGCTTCAGAAAAGCAACAACAACAACAACAACAGCAACAACAACAAGAAGAGGGATGAACCGGCGAACACTTGGATTTCCCCTCTTTTGATGAATTCTTCGAGTCGCCTCGACCGCAAGAGAGAGAGAGGAAGAGAGAGAGGGAGAGAGAGAGAGAGAGCGCGCATACGCGCGCGAATCTAGGCGCAGATGACCAGAGGTTTTCAGAGCTGGCGCACGCGTTTGAAGGCAGGACAGTCCAGCTTTAAATCTTGTCGTCCTCCGCTCTTGCAGCAGCCTGAAATATCTTGTGCGAGTCCCATGAAAGTGAAGCTACTAGTAGCTCCTGGCCATACTAGGAGCAAGAAGCTACTAGTAGCAAGGACGCTATTAGGTGGAGGCCATCGAAAGTAGGTCGGAGGCCATCGCTACTAGGAACAAGAAGGTCTTGAAGATTCTTATGCCAGTTTGGCACCATGAGCCTGACGTGACCTTGCCAAATATGTGGAGAGACAAAAGCGACCAACGTCCTTCACATTTCGACCTAAACACACCCAAACATATAACATCAATGAACACACACACACACACACAAACACCTTTATTGATACACATTCTTCTAATATCATCCATTGTTTAGTCATGAGGATGCTACTGTTACTGGTGAATTGTGCCAAGCTCCTCGGTTCTCACCAGGCGCTAGGGGAGCTTCTGGAGAAGACGCCACCAAGCGAGGCAGATGGCGTGGTGACTTCGCTCGGATCAGCTGACTTGGAGGAGCATTTGGTTGACCCCCCCACCAAGTGAATCGACACCCAACAAATGCATTCTGCCTGACTTTGTGAGCTCCCTCCCCCAATCACCCTGTGGCTTTTCATTTGGCTGCATTAATCTCCCGCACCATAAAAATAGGGTGCTTCGTCGCGAAGCCATCGGCAACTCCCGCTCCGTCGCAACTCATATCCCACGGGATTTCTTGACCCGAGCAGAACAAGGCTGGGTCCAGCAGTTGGGGCAGTAGTTCGGGTAAGAGTAGTACTCACCAGCTGCGGGTGCCGGCATCGCAGCCCACAGTCGTTCCACCAGGCCGATGGCTTGCGGAGCATTTTTCGGGACGTTTCCAGGGAGCCACCTGGTCCAAAAGAACGCAGGACGGAGCGCCGAGGACACTGGGGCGGTGGGCAGATGTCGCCTGAAATGAAGCGTTCCTGCAGCCATTTGGTGACCCTTATAGGCTTATAGGCCATTCTGAGTTAGATGATTCTCCTCCAATCCTCCAGCCTGTTGCTATTAGGTTGGAGGCCATCGCTAATTAGTAGGTTGGAGGCCATCGCTAATTAGTAGGTTGGAGGCCATCGCTAATTAGTAGGTTGGAGGCCATCCGCTTCTAGGTTGGAGGCCATCGCTTCTAGGTGGCCACCGCTATTAGGTTCCTTTTGCTATTAGGTATCTCGATCCCGGTCACTCGGGTAGCTGTGCTCGTTCGACGACCTCAGGTGCAACGACATGAAGCGAGAGCTCTTAGGTGCTGCGCCCTGAGGTACGGGCACCGAGGTTTATGGTCAAGAAATCATCGCAGAGTCATCACATTAGTGTTTTGTTGTTGAGAAGGTGAATAGGAGAAGACGGTCAGTGATGGGTATGACGAGTTCTTTGAGCTGCTGAGTGACTCTGACCACTCAATCATGTTTCCTTGATTTTCCTTCAATTTTAGACTTTATATTCTTTTCTGGTGTCTCCGCAGGCGGTTCATTTTCATAAATGCATGAAATGAAACACCATGAACAACCATGAAAAACCTATTTGGACCTGGAGCTTTGCCGTGCTGGAAGAGCTGCCAACTTGAGGATCATGAACCAAGTATGCTAATCAGTCAGGGTGTCAGAGGAAACTTGGAACATGTGTCATGATTTGATCAACGTGGAGTCAAGGCTAATTAGTTGATGATTTCGGGTATTTTGGTGGAATGTGTTGGACCTTGCAAACGACTTTGCTCTCCTGGAAAGGCCAACCTGCAAGAGGCGTACGCCACAGTTCTTCGCCTGAGACATGGCAGAAAAGGATTGCAATTGTTGCCGAGAGCAAGATGTTGGCAGGTGCAGCAGAGGCATTCATTCGCTCTAGTGTGTGTTCATGTAGTTTCATGCTGTGTTTGTTAAGTGGGAGATCGTATTGCCCGACCTACAGAGTCCAGGCTCAACCTTTTTGAACCAACCTGGTCATGGCGCGCTCTGGAGCGACTTTGCTGTGTGTGG